CCCTCCCCCTCTATTCCTTCTTCCCTTCCCTCTCTATTCTTTCCTTCCTTCCCTTCCTTCCCTTCCTTGCCCTCTATTCCTTCCTTCCCAGGAAGGTTATAATGCAGTATTTGCAGGCTCTACCAACTGTCAGTAGTTCGATCCTGACCGGCTCAAGGTGGACTCAGCCTTCTGTCCTTCCGAGGTCGGTAAAAGGAGCACCTCCGATTGTTGGGGCCAAATACGCGGACCCTGTAAACCGCTTAGAGGGGGCGCAGAAGGTCCTGTGAAGCGGTGTTACCAGGCTAAGGGCTCCAGCTACCACGTCCAACGCGACTCACCCGAGTGATGGCCGACGTGGAGGTCAGTTTCCTCCTGGGTTTTTTCACCTTCCTAAGGTCGTCGTCTTCGTAGAACAAATCCTGCCGAGAGGAAAACGGAGAAGCCGTTGCAGAACTCAAAGCCTCAAGCCTTTCGGAGGCTGAAAAAGGCCTCAAACCGGCTGAAAATCTGCTGTGAGGCACAGTGCAGGTAAGGGGTGGGTGGGGATTATGTACGCATGCATAGGGGGCGTAGTGGGGGGGCACATTGCCTTCTGGGTGCTGGCACATGACTGCGAGCATTGCAAGCGCGCACACAATTTTTGGCACAGGAGCCCCAAAAGGTTAGCCCCCCACTGCTCTACGTCCTTCTGGACAAAGGGCTGCCTAATCTCTTCTTGAAAAAAACCTCCAGCGTTGGAAGCACCCGCAACTTCTAGTGGCAAGCCGTTCCACAGGTTCATCCTTCTCACTTGTCAGAAACTGTCCCCTTCGTTCCAGGTGGTTTCTCTCCTTGGTGAAGTGTCCATCCCGGCAAGGTGGATGCTGGACTTACCTGCCCGTGCAAGGGGTCGTCGCTTCCTTCTTGCTCGGACGAGAAGCTCTCCTCTTCCTCCTCGGAGTAGTTATCGATGTCAGGGGATCGATCTAGGAAGCAAGCCGGATTATCAACCAAAGCTTTCGTGCCCTCTCATTTCCTGGATTTTGCCATCTCTTTTGGCCCCGGGTTGTTAAGCAAACCGCGGCGGCTGTTGGAAGTCAATCCCCCACGGTCGCTAAAGGAATCCCGTTTCCACCCGTTGTTCAGAAACCCAGCTCTCGTATCACAAGACCTAAAATGGACACCTAACATCAAAAGCGTCATCAAAAAAGCACAACAAAGAAGGTTCTTCCTGCGCCAACTCAGGCAGCTCAAACTGCCCCAAAGGAGCTGCTGATCCAGTTCTACAGAGGAATTATTCAGTCTGTCATCTGCACCTCTATAACTGTCTGGTTTGGTTCTGCAACCCAAAAGGACAGACACAGACTCCAGAGGAGAATTAGGACTGCAGAAAATACCATGGCTACTAATCTGCCTTCCATGGAGGACCCGTATCCTGCACCCTGAGTCAAAAAGAGGGCTGTGAAAATATCTACAGACCCCTCACATCCCGGACATAAACTCAAAACGACGCTATAGAGCCCTGCACACCAGAACAACTAGACACAAGGGGAGTTTTTGCCTGAACACCATCACTCTGCTAAACAAATAATTCCTTGCACCAAAGACAAGTTCCTTGTGTGTCCAATCACACTTGGCCAATAAAAGAATTCTATTCTATTCTATTCTATTCTATTCTATTCTATTCTATTCTATTCTATTCTATTCTATTATTTTCTATTCTATTCTATTCTATTCTATTCTATTCTATTCTATTCTATTCTTCTATGCCATGTCATTCTATTCCATTATTCCTCTTCCTTCTCCATTTCCTCTTCCATTTCCTATTCTATTCTATTCTGAATCCTATTCTATTCCATCTCTTCTTATTTCTATTCTATTCCTGATCTATTCCTTCTCTTCCTTTCTCCTCTTTTTCTTCTTCTTTTATTTCTCTTCTATCTATTCTATTCTTTACCTTCTCTTTTCTTCTCTTCTTTCTCTTCTCATTTCTATTCTATTCTATTCTATTCTGAATCCTATTCTATTCCTTCTCTTCTTATTTCTATTCTATTCCTATTCTATACCTTCTCTTCCCTTCCCCTCTTTCTCCCTTCTTTCTATTTCTCTTCGATCTATTCTATTCTATACCTTCTCTTCTCTTCTCTTCTCTTCTCATTTCTATTCTATTCTATTTTCTCATTCTATTCTGCTCTGCTCTACTCTATTTCTATTCTACTCCTACTCTACTCCTACTCTATTCCTACTCTACTCTACTCTATTCTAGGACAGTTGCGAAGGGTGATCGTGAGACAAACACACACACACAAGACACCTTTGTAAATACACTGCTGCATTCAAGCCCCTGAATTTTGATTCCCGCACTCACAGGGAGCCTGTGACGGTCGTTAAGTGTGAGGACTGGTGGTAAGACCCGACTTTCCGGCGCTGTTCTGAACGGACGCTAAATGCACGGCCGTTAAGGGCGAGGACTTCCCCGCACCTGATAATTTGGACTTGAGTCCTTCGTGGTCGATGGGCTGGCTGGACAGGGAGTAGATTTTGATTTCGGCCACGGGAACGGAGACGTCTTTCGCGCTGCTGTGGAGTCCCAACACCAGGGCCCCCTCGCTTGGGTGCTGCATCACCTGCCAACGACAAACGGAGCGCCAAATTGCGGTGTGTGTGTGTGTGTGTGTGTGTGTCTCCGAAAGCTTAAAGTCCACGAGCAAAAGAGCCAGAGGGGGTCATTTGCCGTCTGGACCTCCCCAACTGCCTGACCTACCTCGGCCATGTTGATCAAGCCCACAGCCAACGTTTTGTAACCCAGGAAAGTCCGGTTTTTGTACCGCTTCCTTCTCTGCAACATGATCTGCAGTTTGTTGGCGTCGCGCTTCAGGAAGTGAGGGTACTGCGGAGAGAAAGGCAGGGGGAAGGAAAGATGAATAAGGGAGGAGAGGAGGGAAGGAGAGAGGGGAAAAGAGGGAAGAGACCAAGAGAGAAGAGGAGAAGAAAGAGGGAAGAAATGAGAAGAGAGAAGGGAAGACCAAAAGAGAGAAAAGAGGGAAGAAACCAGAAGGGAGAAGAGAAGAGAAGAGAAGAGAAGAGAAGAGAAGAGAAGGGAAGGGAAGGGAAGGGAAGAGAAGAGAAGAGAAAAGTTCTCATTTTTTACTGTGAGCACACTGGTACGCATTAAAAATGAAATTCTGTTGACTGCTCTCAAAAAAAAGTATATATCTACCTATACCCATACATAACACACATATACACATGCTATACACACACACACACACACACACACACACACACACACACACACACAGAGGGAGTGGAGTTTGCTACAAATGCCCCTTCCAGCACTGATGATGTTACCTAGTTGGGTCATGAAACGTCTGCAAGGAAACCACCCAGCTCAGAGAGCACCAAGGACCCCGCGCTGCAACCCTGAGCTACAAATGTTCTTCTTCGTCGGTGTGTGTATTTTTTTTTAAAGGTCCCGATGTTTGGCGAAGAGCTGGAATTCCGCGCGAGAGAGAGAGCGCTCACCTGTAGCGAGAACGTCAGCTGCAGTTCCGTTTCCACGAGGCCGCTGACGGGCAGCACGATCTCGTTGGACCTCAGGATCCGCTTGGAACCCTGCAAGAGGCAGGGGTCAGTTTGTAAGCCGAGGCGGGATCGGAGCCCCCCCAAAGGGCAGGTGACAGGCAAGGTCGCGGTTGACTCGCTTAGGGCTGCCTCCCTGCGCAACCACACGACCGCAACGGGAAGGGCGGGCGGGGGGGAGGGAAAGCGCTGGAAGGTAAGGGAGGTTTTTTTGGGTAAGGGAAATTTGGAACAGAAAAGGTGCCAACGGGAAGCCCGAGACTGACAGACCGTTCTCAAAAAAATAAACAAAACAAAAAAAAGATAGCGCAAGTGATTTTTCTACATCTGTAGCCGTATCGAATCTTCGGTAAAGTTAAATATTCTTGCCCCCCCCCCCCCCCCGATTTTCCCCCCCTTTGCTCTCTAACCCAGTGGGATGGTTGAGAGGCATGGGTGTATGACCACGACTGAGCCCCAAATTTCTGTCGTTAAGTGAGACATTTGTGAAGTGAGTTTTTGCCCCCTTTTACGGACTTTTCTCGCCACGTTTGTGAAGGGAATCACCACAGTTGATAAGTTAGGAACGTGGCTGTTACGCGAATCTGGCTTCCGCATTGACTTTGCTTGTCAAGAGGTTATATATATATATAAGTCTAAATGCTATTGCTATTTTTTTTCCTTCCTTCCTTCCTTCCTTCCTTCCTTCCTTCCTTCCTTCCTTCCTTCCTTCCCTCCCTCCCTCCCTCCCTCCCTCACTCC